TAAAGGATGACTCTGTCAAAACACAAAGGTAAAATTTATATAGGAAAAAAATGGACCAAAGATAATTTGATCATGGTATTAAACTGAATTTATTCTTATTTTAATAGAGAGTTGATTCATAGCTATAATAAACCCAGAATTGTATGTGAAATGTAGTGTTTATATGAAAATTCCATATCTCATTTCAGCCAACTTCTTGTAGTGTTTGCAGGCAGGACTGCCTACCACTGGGAGGCAGTTGATCCAAGCTTTGGAGTTCCTAGAAGTCCCTAGGACTAGTAGTATCACAGGTGGGGATTTCCAGTAAGCAGCAGCAGGTCTGACCAGTGGTTCTCTGTACTTGTGCTAGGGAGGGCCAGTAGGGACCAGGAATGTAGGTGCAGCATGATATAATCATGCAGTCTCCAATCCTGCAAGCACACAAATTCATGGATTACGAGAAGCCTGAGCAGCTAGCCATTTTACACTTGGTAACGAGAAAGAAAGGGAGAAGAACTCAGGACAAAAACAGAATGTATGAATAAAAAAAGGGAGGGAGAGGTTGGAAGAGAAAAGGGGAAGATCAATATGAGAGCAGAAGGGAAAACACCAATGGGAGAAGGGTTGGTAAAAAAGCAAGAAAACAAAAACAGTGGAGTGTTAGGTGAACAGCAAATCGAAAATATAAATCTTGGATAGGAGAAAGGAAGCAGAAGAAAAATGTGAAAGGGGACAGAGACTATTATAGATGAGCCCTCTTGAGGGAGAAGACTTAAGACATGTGAATGGATTAATATTTGTACCATAAATAGGGTTTGTGGGTGCCGAACATGTCTAAAAATGAGGCAGTTCTTTTTTGGAAGCCTAAAAAGGAATAAAGGAGTCTAGAATATTTTTGCCTAAGTAAATAATCAGATTGTAATTATAAACTAAAACTTGAGATACTAATGTGCTAGATCCTTTGCTATCGGAGTTATTTGTGGCAATGATTGCTATCCTAGAGGTCTTACAATTTCAGGTGGTGAATAAGATACAAAACCAGATAAAACTGAAAAAATACCCTATTTGAAAATAAAATGAGTTTATTAAGAACATTGAGGGCACTTCATAGTTATAACTATCAATTTATTTCATGAGGTGCCTGTCACTGTTAAATCAGAGTTGTGGCAGCAATTTAAAATGGTTATGTATAAATGTATGAGATGAAACGGACTTTTGGTGAGCAGCCTTCTTACACCACTATATGATGCATAGCAAATTCTTCTATACATCCTTTTGTATCTGTATATATTTCCTTGTGATACTAATCTGGTAATATTACCAGATCTGACACATTTGATGGTGTTAATGGCTTTTTTTCTAAAGTAGCCACATATGTGGCTTAGTGCAACAGTAAATTATTTTGGTGGTTTTTGTAAATATTTGTTGATGTTGCAGAAGTTGCTATGCTAATTTGTTTCAGTTTGCTTTAAGAGCAGTATTGAATAGCAAATATTTATCTTATCATATACAAATTATAGGTATCAAAGAACGTTTGTGCACGTGCATTTAGTCTGATGTGTATTAGTATCTCCAAATTATAGTGATAAACAAATTTTATGTGTTAGTTTTAATTCTATAGAGGAAATTTGAGTTTTCAGTTGTTTATAAATTTTGAGAAATAGTTAAGATAGATATTTTATTATAATCTCATTTTAGTGAATAAGTATGACATTAAATCTGTTCTCTTCATATACATGCATTATTACCATTAAGTTATGTGGGATTTTCATATATATGCTAAGAAAATACATTTATTTTCTGTTTTTGAAAAAAGGCAGACCCATTTTGCCCTGAAATCTGTCTTGTCAGAACCTATGCCCTTTCTCTGAAAGGGAAATCCTATTACTTCCCCTTCCGGTTACAAATAATTACTGTAATATAAATTTCTAATGTAACTTTTTAAAAATTACATTCAACAGAGAGAACAGTCCTGCCACATTTCCTGATACACACAGCGCATTCCAGACTGCTCTGTTTCACCCGACACCCATCCATCCAAAGTTTCAGCCAGGTCCTGAAGTTCGGCTTTATGATCCCAACACCGGAAAGCTAATCAGGAAGGGCTCTCAGTCTTCTGGCCAGCCTCTGTATATCCAGTCTCCAGCTCCTCCCCTCACTTTACCGGTCCACGGGGAGCACTCATCCTTCAGGTACATGAAAGTGTAGCTAAGAATCACTTAAGCTTATTTTCAAACTTCATTTTTCTAGGATCTCACTTTTTTGTGTTACCTGATAGCATTTCATTCAATTGGCTTAGTTAGCTTACCTCTTTGAAAAGTTAAAATGGTTTTAACTCTTGCAATATCTTACTAAAGGAAATGATTAGAACTAGGCAAACAGCTGTGGTGATATGAATGTGTTTAATTCCGTATAGGCCTTCCTTTTCTGTATTTGTAGAAACCCCAAAGAGAATATACAACTTTTGTATTTTATATACTGTAGAATTTATTAGGATAACTTATATCACAAAACAGTGTGTTTTTGTATGTGAATTTCAGTTCTAAATAAGTTTTATTCATTACTTTGGATTTGTTTGGCTATCAAATACAGCTGACTGCAGTATCAGTTTTGCTTGAAAACTTTTCCTCTTTACTTATCTCATACACATACTTTCAAATAGGAGATTATTCTGGGATTTTACTTTGAGGTTACTTTTGTTTTTAGAGGATTACCTAGTGCATGTTACTGTGATTTTTTTTTCTATGAGTCAGTCTGCACTTAAAAACATTATTCGAAAATAAAAGGGGATGAAGGCTGGTTTTGTGATTTTTAAGGCCTTGAATTTCTAGCTGAGACACCTAGGGGACTTGTCATGGACACTGTGATCTTGGTCAGCTCATTTAAACCATGATTTTTAAAAGTAGGAGTCTTAGGCTCCAGAGTATGGATTTAGGTTCTTAAATAACTGACCTAATTTTCAGAAGTGCTAAGCACGCAGCAATTCGTGTTGACTTAATTGATTAGGCATCTTCTTGGTATCTAAATTTCTCCATCCATAAAACATGGTAGAGTATTGGGACTAACTTAATTATCTCTGAAAACATGTGAGATCCTCAGAAATGATAGAAAAGTTTAAAGCATTATAATAAATGCCGTGATGCAAGGTGAATTCTTTTCCATGTTCTCCTTTTCACTATCTCTACCCTTTATATTCTTTGTTACAAAAATCTCTTGCTATCTCTTCTTTTTCAGAATCCTTTACATACTTTTTACTTCTCCCTTCCCATTTTCATGGTTTTTCTTTCATTTTGTCTCCTTCATTACACTTTCCTTAGCCTTTCTTGGCATGAATATATCCAGTTCCTTTGGCTATTTGAAAAGGCAATTTTCTTTTCTGCTTTTTTCCCCCAAATCACCACTTTTTAGCTTGCATTTTGCTTTAATACTCTTAAATGAACAGGCAAGAAAGAAACAGTCAAGACAGCAAGTATTCTGAAAGAATAACTGGAAAGGTTTTGTTGGTCATTATTTGACAAAGGGGCAGAGAAATTTGTTTCCAAGTTTCAAGAAGCTGGGAAATGTTTGCGAGGGACTGAGTTTATGTAGGACTTTCCTAAAATGCTTGGGTGTAAAGGTCTGTGATGTGTTAATATATCAATTAGGACTGTCAATTGACCTGCGTTAACACCTGCGAGTAACACAAGACAAGATTAATTTTTTCAACATGTTAATCTGGTGCTTCGAAGGGGCTTTCCAACAGCAGAGCGGGGGGATCAGCTGGAATCCCCACCTGATCCCCCGCTCCTAATCAGCTGCCCCTTGGAAACACTGCCATGGCGCTTCCAAGGAACTGCACTGCATGGAGCCTGGCATCAGCTGGGGACTCCAGCTGATCCTGGTCTCCATGCAATGCTGCCCTGTTGAAATGCTGCCATGGCTTTTCAAAGGGGAGGCGCACGTGATTAATTGAGATTACATTTTTTTATTTGCTTAAGAGCCCTAGTATCAGCAAAGTCAAAAGAGTACTCTTTTAATCTTCATATTCTTCCCTTCTTCCTCTCCAAATTTACAAATTATTAAGCCAAAAATTTACATTCACAACGATTGTCATTTTGCATTGTAATGCAAAAGTAGTGACTCGTTTGATTGTCTTTCTCTTCCAAAAACTGTACATAAGTTGTATCTCTAGCTGGGAGCTGCTGGGAAACCAGTCCCAGGCTAAGCCTTTGGAAAATTTTCCCTTTCTTAATTATAATTTTTACTCTTTAGGATGGTTTTGTGATTTTAAAATAAATGAGTATTCTGAGTTTTAAAATAAAAAATAATGTGAAGGTCGTGGCTTTCAAGATTATACATTTCCTGGTTGTAGGTGTAATTTTGTTCCTAACTTGAGAACCAGGAACAGCTTGTTGTATATTGGGCAAAAATCCAAGGGGAAAGTGACTCTGCATACAAACATGATGTATTTTTCGTGGATTATGCAAAATCCTCAGATGACTCTCTGTTTTCAGATTAGCCAATTATGTAGAATTGTACAAAGAATTAATGCTACGTAGGGTATAGTCCTTTTCTGTATTTGTAGAAACCCCAAAGAGAATATACAACTTTTGTATTTTATATACTGTAGAATTTATTAGGATAACTTATATCACAAAACAGTGTGTTTTTGTATGTGAATTTCAGTTCTAAATAAGTTTTATTCATTACTTTGGATTTGTTTGGCTATCAAATACAGCTGACTGCAGTATCAGTTTTGCTTGAAAACTTTTCCTCTTTACTTATCTCATACACATACTTTCAAATAGGAGATTATTCTGGGATTTTACTTTGAGGTTACTTTTGTTTTTAGAGGATTACCTAGTGCATGTTACTGTGATTTTTTTTTCTATGAGTCAGTCTGCACTTAAAAACATTATTCGAAAATAAAAGGGGATGAAGGCTGGTTTTGTGATTTTTAAGGCCTTGAATTTCTAGCTGAGACACCTAGGGGACTTGTCATGGACACTGTGATCTTGGTCAGCTCATTTAAACCATGATTTTTAAAAGTAGGAGTCTTAGGCTCCAGAGTATGGATTTAGGTTCTTAAATAACTGACCTAATTTTCAGAAGTGCTAAGCACGCAGCAATTCGTGTTGACTTAATTGATTAGGCATCTTCTTGGTATCTAAATTTCTCCATCCATAAAACATGGTAGAGTATTGGGACTAACTTAATTATCTCTGAAAACATGTGAGATCCTCAGAAATGATAGAAAAGTTTAAAGCATTATAATAAATGCCGTGATGCAAGGTGAATTCTTTTCCATGTTCTCCTTTTCACTATCTCTACCCTTTATATTCTTTGTTACAAAAATCTCTTGCTATCTCTTCTTTTTCAGAATCCTTTACATACTTTTTACTTCTCCCTTCCCATTTTCATGGTTTTTCTTTCATTTTGTCTCCTTCATTACACTTTCCTTAGCCTTTCTTGGCATGAATATATCCAGTTCCTTTGGCTATTTGAAAAGGCAATTTTCTTTTCTGCTTTTTTCCCCCAAATCACCACTTTTTAGCTTGCATTTTGCTTTAATACTCTTAAATGAACAGGCAAGAAAGAAACAGTCAAGACAGCAAGTATTCTGAAAGAATAACTGGAAAGGTTTTGTTGGTCATTATTTGACAAAGGGGCAGAGAAATTTGTTTCCAAGTTTCAAGAAGCTGGGAAATGTTTGCGAGGGACTGAGTTTATGTAGGACTTTCCTAAAATGCTTGGGTGTAAAGGTCTGTGATGTGTTAATATATCAATTAGGACTGTCAATTGACCTGCGTTAACACCTGCGAGTAACACAAGACAAGATTAATTTTTTCAACATGTTAATCTGGTGCTTCGAAGGGGCTTTCCAACAGCAGAGCGGGGGGATCAGCTGGAATCCCCACCTGATCCCCCGCTCCTAATCAGCTGCCCCTTGGAAACACTGCCATGGCGCTTCCAAGGAACTGCACTGCATGGAGCCTGGCATCAGCTGGGGACTCCAGCTGATCCTGGTCTCCATGCAATGCTGCCCTGTTGAAATGCTGCCATGGCTTTTCAAAGGGGAGGCGCACGTGATTAATTGAGATTACATTTTTTTATTTGCTTAAGAGCCCTAGTATCAGCAAAGTCAAAAGAGTACTCTTTTAATCTTCATATTCTTCCCTTCTTCCTCTCCAAATTTACAAATTATTAAGCCAAAAATTTACATTCACAACGATTGTCATTTTGCATTGTAATGCAAAAGTAGTGACTCGTTTGATTGTCTTTCTCTTCCAAAAACTGTACATAAGTTGTATCTCTAGCTGGGAGCTGCTGGGAAACCAGTCCCAGGCTAAGCCTTTGGAAAATTTTCCCTTTCTTAATTATAATTTTTACTCTTTAGGATGGTTTTGTGATTTTAAAATAAATGAGTATTCTGAGTTTTAAAATAAAAAATAATGTGAAGGTCGTGGCTTTCAAGATTATACATTTCCTGGTTGTAGGTGTAATTTTGTTCCTAACTTGAGAACCAGGAACAGCTTGTTGTATATTGGGCAAAAATCCAAGGGGAAAGTGACTCTGCATACAAACATGATGTATTTTTCGTGGATTATGCAAAATCCTCAGATGACTCTCTGTTTTCAGATTAGCCAATTATGTAGAATTGTACAAAGAATTAATGCTACGTAGGGTATAGTCATTTCTTCTTCGAGTGGTCCCCGTGGGTACTCCACTCTGGGTCCTGGTGCGTCCTCACGCCAGCGACCAGAGACTTTTTCTAGCAGTTTCTGCTGCGCCGTGCATGCGCCATAGTGCTCTCTAGTGCTGTTGCAATCTGCTGGGCACGCGCGGCGCGGCTCCTCAGTTCCTTCTCTACCATCCTCGGCAGCAGACAAAGCCTTCAGTTCTCCTCATTTTCTGTAAAAAAATAGACAATTTCCTAGTTGATTCCCCAGTTTTCCTCACGATCCAAGTTCTTTTTTTGCCCTCTTCTCCTAACCCAGTTAGTTTAAAAAAAAAAAAAATTCTCTCGTTGCGGTTCGCCGCTTTTTTTCCAAGAGCCTCATTCCCGGTTTTAAGAGGTGCAAATCATGCCGTGACACGATGCCCATGTCTGACGGGCACACCAAGTGCATTAAGTGCCTGGGTGAGTCACATCAAATTCAAATGCCGGCACTGCTCCAAACTCACCGCGAGAGCGCACCATGACTGGGCTAAC